TATAAATTCACTGTAAACCACGGCTTCACGGGGCTTATTGCTTTATTTTAGCACATCATGTTTTCTAAAATTAAAATGAGAAATTGTCTTGGCAAGCTTATTTTATTTCAAGTAATTTTTTTTTTTTTTGCATGTTGTTTGCACCACAGTGTGTGTGCCAGGAGGAAGAGAAGCGCCTGCGGGACACACAGCGACACCCTCAGCAAGCCAAGCAGAGCGGCACGCGCCAAACACTCGCCCGTTCCAGGCCTAGTCACTGCAAGCGCAGGTTTTAACGAGTCAAGACTTCGCATCGTAAAATGAGGATATTTTAAGATATTTGAAAAATCTAGTTTAAAACAAATGCCAAATTATTAGAAATGTAATTTTAGCATTTATGTTGGTTTCATGTTTTTTGACAAAGCTTTTTATACTATTTTAAATGAATATGTAAAAATGTCAAGTGGTGTAACCATCAGTCAAAAGTAAATAACAGATGCGAGTATACACACTGATTTTAAAAATATACGTAAACTTTTTCTAACCATTAGTGGTACTTTAGTCTCACTGAGGTACTATTATAGTTTCTAGTAAGATTTTCTATCAGGTTTTAAAATAATATCATAAAAACTAAAATATTTTTATTTATTATTATTTATTTTATATTATCTGTGTTTATTATTAATAAATGAATAACTTACTAATAAACAAATTAAAACACACACATAAATATATATTTATATATTTTTTAAATTAATTTTCATTTCAGTTTCAGCTATTATAAAACGGATAGTTCCGGTCCTTGATTCTGATTGGCTGAGCCACGTTCGAAGCTGTTGTAAATTACTCTACAAACACACACCTTTGTTTACTTCTGTGTGTTGCTCGGCAACCACTTTGTTGGAACCACAACTGATTCTGAGGAACTACATTGTTTGGTGGAAGAATACTGTTTTTATTAATATCATTACACTTTATTTGCTCTCTTTTATTCTGTGAAACCTTACTACGTATTTCAAGTAATTTTTTTTTTTTTTGCATGTTGTTTGCACCACAAGACTTCATATTACTCTCGATTTTCTTTTCAAGAATTTCATTGTTTAACTATGCTTTTGATTAATTTATGACATAGTTTAAAGACTTTCCAAAAAATAAATAAAATAAAATGTCCAGAATTGACTTTTTACAAGTATTTTTGAAAAAAAAAAGAAGAGAGCATTATGTCATGTTTCAAAAAAATTATATATTGTGAGTTTCTCTATGAGTCAAGCAATTTTTGCATCACTCTTGATGTGAATAGGCCTTTACACAGACGAATCAGTAGAAAGCAGAATTCAAAGTATGCAGACATGCAAGCAAAAAAGTTTGTGTGTATTAAAACACAAAGACGTCGTGCAAGCTGATGCAGTGCATCATGCAAAACCCCTCTGGAAAGTCAAATAAGCCTCAATCTGTGAAAGTGAGAAAAACTGCATGCAACAAACGAATGAATGAATGAATGAATGAATGAATGGCGAGGAGCCCCACCTGGCATGAGCGTGAATCCGGCGGGCAGCTGCATGATCCCCGCCGGAGAGCTCTTGAGCACCGTCCCGTTCACACTGGAGACGCTCTGAGCGTTCATCCCGGCGGCCACCGGCCAGCAGGCGCTGCTGGATGCGTGCATGGAGACAGAGGACGAGGAGGGAGAGGAAGAGGCCGACGACTGTGTGGTGGTGCTGTTGGTGCTGGTGCCTCCTCCGGGTAAAGAGGCAGCCATGAACGTCGGCTTGATCATTTCCTGCAACCGCACAGACAGAAATAACAAGACCGCTGACAATGAGCTTCCATTTGTTAACATGTTAGTTTATTAGTTAGCATGCATTCACAATGAAAAACACTTCTAAAATGCATCAATCTTGATGTTAACTAATACATTATTAAAACTGTAAGTTGATAATGTCAATATTATTTAATGAACCCGAGCAAACATGAACTAACAACTTTAGTATTTTTATTAACTTTTATTAATTAATGATAATTAACTTTGAATATTAATAAAAACTAATCAAACGTACTGCTTATTTTTAGTTAATATCAGTTAATGCATTTATTTACGCTGACTAATGGGACCATACTGTAAACTGTTGCTAAAATATTTTAGGAACACAAATTTAGGGCGACAACCAATGTTCTTTTTTGTCACAACACAGCACAGATATGCTAAAACTGGCATTTGTTGGAAAAAAAAAATTTAATGAATCATAATTAATATTTACTTATTAATTTTATATTATTTTTTATTTAGTATTAATAAATCAAATTAAAAATGAACAAATAAAAACCGAAACATTAAAAATCATATCTAAATTTTTGTTTATTTATTCATTTAATATTATTTTAATTTATTAGTAATAAATAAATAAACAAATAAAATAAATGCATTATTAAAAATTTCTAAATACATTTGTTTTTATTTTTCATCATTTTAATTTATTCATATTTATTTTTAATTTACTTTATTATTTTCATTTATTATTAATAAAAAATAATAAACAATATATTAGAAATGAACAAAAATAAAAAAATACACTCTTAAATTATATCTGAATATATATTTTTTGTATTTATCATCTTATTTTAATTATTTATTCATATTTATTTTTAGTTTATTTATTAATTTTGTACTATTTTGTATTTACTATTAATAAATAAATAATATTAAATAAAAAATGAACAATAAATACATTAAAAATCATATCTAAATATATTGTTATTTATCACTGTATCTTAATTATTTATTCATTTTATTTTTAGTTTATTTACTTATTAATTGTTTGCATTATTTTTATGTATTGTTCATAAATAATACACAATAGCTTAAAATGAAATAACCACATTATTAAAAATCATATCTAAAGTTTAACAGATACAACAAAATATTCGATCATATTAAAAACTGGCTTAATATTAACAACATCCTACGAGTGAAGGCTTTGCTCATGAACAATTACGAAAACTTCTGTGATGGAAATCAATGAAACGCAGTCAATAAAAGTGCAAATTAAGGAGCTTTTATATGGACTTACTGTAGAGCCATATTTATATATTACATAACCTAATAATGCCTATTTGATAATCCAGTCAATTAAATACATCACAAATGAAAAGGTACTTCATCTCATTTTAGCATTTGTAATGTATTTATCTGAAACCCAATGGAAACAAACCAAAAGATATGATTATTAATAATAAATGACAATCATAAACTGAACAAAAACAGCTGAAACTTTCTTCAAAAGATCTTCTTTAGTGTTAGGAACGAGTAAATGACAGATTTTATTTTTGGATCAACTGTCCCTTTAAGATGACACATTTTCAGGGGAACTCTTAAGAGAAAACAAAAAAGCATTTATTGTAGCATTTATCCCACAGAGTTCTCCTGTGGCGGAGCAGGGCTGATTGATTGCGGCAGAGCCTGTGGCAACAACTGTGTGATGAAGGCAGTTGTGTCGTGAGGATCCCGAGATCGGCAGCTGCCTTCACAGGAAAACAGGTGTCCACACAGCGAGAGAGCGCCGCTATTTCAGGCAGCTCTCCACCTAATCTACGAAACAGGGACGACCTGTGCGCTGAGCAACACCGAGGGATTTCTGTTCTCCTTCAGAAGAAGGGCACGGGGGAGAAATACGACAAAGACTGCAAATACACAACTCATAATCGATCACTGTGTAGTACTACTGAGCTCGGTTGAGGGATCAGAGCGAATCTGATTAATCGTAAAAGTACATTACACGATTAAATACACTACTGTCAAAAGATTTGGTATGTTTTTTAATGTTTTTATTAAAAAATTTAATATTTAGATATTAAATATATTTATCCGTAATATAAATAATATAAATATATACATGTAAATATTTTCAAAATGTATACTGTATGTGTGTATTTATATATACATAATAAATATACACAGTACACACATGTAAACAAAAACGTTTATTTTGGATGTGATTAATCGTTTGACAGCACTAATAACAAGACTTTGGGAAAAGACTGGGTTTAGGAAATAAATAAGTTGTTACATTATAATATAAAAAAAACTAAAATAATTGAATTTATTTAAATTTTATTTATATCTATTAAAGGGGTCATATGATGCTATTTCATTTTTTCCTTTCTCTTTGGAGTGTTACAAGCTCTTGGTGCATAAAGAAGATCTGTAAAGTTGCAAAGACTAAAGTCTCAAATCCAAAGAGATATTCTTTATAAAAGTTAAGAGTCCATGAATTAAAAGAAGTAATCCTTCACAGCATGCAGGACCAAACTGAGTTGGTACTACTGAAAATGACTCTTAGGTATTGTTACACATGTTCCATTTCAGTACCAAATTGCAGGGACTTTTGACATATTTAGCATCTGTAACCGAAAACCAATCCACGTCATAAAGCCCTGGAGCATTTGTGGGCCATCAAACTCGGAAGGAGGGATCCCATTCCCATGATGACTTTCTTTGAAAAGTCATAACATGCACTATATGACGAGCTTGCCATCAGCTCAACAAGATGAGGATCTGCTTTTTTTAAGCAATTTCTTAAACAGAGATTCAGGTTTCTAATTTTTGCATGCTCACTCACTGCTTGCCCTAAATCATTGGGGGGTATGTCATACAAATTTGAAAACAGCTGCAGCTTATACAGAATGTGATCAGCCATGAGCCAAGAAAGTGTACTGGGAAAACCAGACTATATAAGGACATGCAGACAGCATCTAATCCTTATCAATGAGAGCTGGACATTGTGAATAATACATGCTGCCATGCAAGACATGATTGGGGTGACGTTAACGGTCTTAAATGTGGGCAAAACTGGTGTATGCAGATAGTCGAACTGGGGTTTTGTGTGAAAGCCGTGCATGATTTCTTTCGACGTTAAAACACGCTATTGTAGTCTGGAAAACCGAGACCTGCAAAGGTCAAGAAACTCAAGAATGGGAGTAAGTTTTCACTCAAATGATGGACTATGGAACCATAAAGAATGATTCTTATTTAGATGTGAAAATTTTTTGGCACAGTCGACTAATTTATAAACCAACTAGTCTAATGAAAATAATCTAGTCAAACCAACTATAATAATGATGTCAAGTAGTGAGTTCATCAATTTTATTTTCTCTCTCTTTTTTTTTTAAACAATACTTTTAAGTGGTGCTTTAATTTGGATTAGAGCAATTTGTTGTGCCACATGTCCTGAACGTTTTTTTTAATAATACATCCATAATTTTATACAAGTATTCAACTTCTATCTACCAAGTTTTCTACAAACTTTCAAAAAATGTCTCAAAACCCACTGCGCTCCAACCAACTACTGTGAACACAAGACTGTGTCCCAAGTAAGCATCCCCAATAAAAAGCGTTTGGTTCACATTATTTGCTGTGTCGTGTATCAAGAACATTTTTACGATGCTGTATAAAAATAACAATTAACTTTTCTACCAACTTAGTTACACTTTAAAAACAAAATTTGAGACCCGTTGTGCTCCATCCAGCTATTGTGAACACAACAATGCCATTTTTTGCATGACGTGTCTTTGAATATTTTTAAGATGATGCATCAAATTAACAAGTTTTAATGTTTGTTTTTTTTACCAAATTTCTATCAAGTTTCAAAACGTATCAAAACCCGTTGTGCTCAAGACAATTATTCTAAACACCCCAAAAGACAAAAATTTCTAGTCCACTCATTGTGCCATACATCCTGAATGTTTTTAACATCAAACAAGTTTCACCATTTTTCAACCAAATTTTCTACCAACTTTCAAAATACGCTGTGCTCTAGCCACCTATTGTGAACACAAGATTGCATCCTATGTGATCACCCCTAATAAAAATCGTTTGATTCAAATTATTTGTTGTGCCGCATGTCCAAAACAATTTTTAAGATGATGTCAAATGATCAAATTAACAATTAAGTTTCAACTTTTCTACCAACTTAGTTAAACTTAAAAAACAAAACTTGAGACCGGTTGTGCTCTGACTCAATGCGTTCTGGCCATTTTTTAAGATGATGCATCAGATTAACAAGTTTCAATGTTTTTCTACCAAAATTTCTACCAACTCTACCAAAACACATCTCAAAACCTGTTGTACTCCAGACAATTATTGCAAACACCCCAAAAGAGAAACATCTAGTCCATGCAACATTGCAACACGCATCCTGAACGTTTTTTTTAATGCATCACATTAGCACGTTTCAACATTTTTTTGACCACATTTTCTACCAAATTTCAAAACAACTCAAAACCAATTGTTCTCCAGCCAGCTATTGTGAACACAAGACTGTCTTAAGTGAGTGGACCTAATGAAAAGCATTTGATTCTCACTATTTCTTGTTCTGCGTGTCGTGAACATCATTTAAGATTAGGGCTGCCACTAACGACTATTTTTATTTCGATTAATCTATTGACTAATTTATCGATTAATCAGTTAATCTTAACGATTAATTTCCCACAAAAAAAATCAACAATTTTACCACTGAAATCAAAGTTCAGTATTATAGTGCAAGAATGACAACATTTCCACGTGTTATAGTCTACTAATATTAAAATTAATTGTTTAAAAACACTTTTTAAAGGAGTATTTACCAGAAATGTTATTTACCAGAATTTATTTAGGAGAAAAATGTAAATGTGCAGTATTTCTGAAAGAATAAAATAAATAAAATCAATTAATTGGAGATGCTTCCTATAATTATAATTTATTTTTTGTGGTAATAAAAATAGATGTAAGTGAACAATAGCCTTTAAAATGACTTAAAATACATATATACTGTAATAGCAATGAGGCAATAATAATTAGTTCAAATAAAGTATTAAAAGCAAGAAATCATATGGTTTTATTGAACAAAACTGTTAAAATACATAATGCATTATAAACAATAGAGCTAATGAACATTACGCATTACAACAAAGGCCTGCAGAGGGCGCCAGTGGCCTGATGATTATTTTTACACATTGCTGTGCGATCTAATAATACTTGTTTAATATTGACCAAGCACCATTTAATTCAAATGTTCACTTCGTTAATATTTGGCCATTTCTTTAGGACAGAAAGGCTATAGCCACTGTAATTAAAAGAATATGTGGACATCAAAACGTGTCAAAATTAAGTCGAGCATTTTTAAAAATCAAATAGTCTAATAAAATCGACGAATCGCGTCAGCCCTATTTAAGATGATGCATCAAATTAACACGTTTCAACTTTTCTACCAAATTAAACTTTAAAATCATGTCTTAAGACCCAATGTGCTTCATCTAGCTTTTGTAAACAAGAATGTGTCCTAAGTGAACACCCCTAAAGAACAGCTTCTGATCCACACAATTTACCTAAGTTTTTTTAGGCCTATATCAAGTTAACAAGTTTCAATCTTTTTCTACCAAGTTACTCAAAATAAAAAAAAACGACTTGAGACCTGTTGTGCGACATTTAACTGTTATGAACAAAAGAATGGATCCTAAATGAACACCTCTAAAGAAAAGCATCTGGTCCATTCACTTTGTTACTCCACGCATCCTGAAAGTTTTAACATTTTTTAATCAAATTAGCAAGTTTCACCTTTTTTCTACCAACTTTCAAAACATGTTTTGAGACCTGTTGTACTCCATCAATTTTACTATCATAAACACAAGAATGCATCCTTAGTGAAATACATCTAGTCTGTCATCATGTCTTGTAAACAACAACACCCTAACTTATGACCATAGCATCAACTACTTCACTGAAAATTTGTATCAGAAAGTATGTACCTTTGGCTCTGTGAGACCATCAGCCTCTGAGACCTGGTAGGTGAGGTCCGTCTCCTCGAATCCCGTGGCACTCATCCGCTGGTCTGTTGAAGGGTCCGTACGGGGTGGAGAATCAGGGGAATTTAGGCAGGTCTGGATGAGGGCTTTACCTGTTTCACTGGTGATCATGGGCTGAAGTTTTCGCGTGGCAAATGTGTAGACGTGGCCCGTCTCGCTGGCAACCAGGAGCAAAACTTGCGTCCCCGTTAAGGTGGATAATTCGTAAGCCTGGAAATATTGAGAAGAAAAGATAACAATGAGCCCTTCTGTATTAGAGTGACATTTCCATGACCAGAAGACACAGATTGATAAGTGACGGCAAACTTGTAGTAAACTTAACACTGATTGATTGGACAACAGTGACAAACATCTTGGAATTGTCACAAATGTTGTGTGGTTGAATATTGTGTGGAGATTAATGAACTGGTAAGAAGTGCAACTAATTGCAACTACTGAGCCACAGATACCAGAGAAGCCCGTCACATGTTCCTGAAGGTCACCTGTGGCCTACTGCAGGTTGTCATTACACCCTCCGTGCCCGACTTCTGCATCTAGGCCAGTTCTCAAGATATGCAAATGTATTAATGTCTAGCGCTGCAGTAACCTGATCGGGCATCAGGACTATTTCGGCCGAGACAGGAATGAATGACAATTGAGCGAGCAACGACAAATGAGTCAGAGCAGATGTGGAAACTACCTTCAACTGAATCCCTGTCAGAAGTGTCAGACCTCAGCTGCTCACAGCGATTGCAGAGGTGGTTCTGACTGAGCTGCAAAGAGCTCTTGAGAGGCGGGACGTTTCTGGTTAGCGTATATGTAGTCAGTGAGTGTGTATGTTGTTAAGGTCTTTGCTGTTGAAATGTGTGTTATAGTGGAGTGGTGTACACACAACAGTAAACTAGTACCCGTTTAGTGCTATAGAACTAGTATTAGTAGCACTTGCATGTTAAATAGTGTTGGTAAAGTACTTGAAATAGTATAGTTTAACAACAGTGGTGGTGTAGTACGAGCATCAACACAGTGGTATGGCACTACTATCCGTGTACTAGTGCTAGTATGAGTACAGTACTAGTGTAACTGGAGTCTTATGGCACTCGTAAGGTTATAATAGTATCAATATACAATGAGTATCAGTATAGCAGTAATACTATTAGTACAGTAGTATCAGTAAATTTATATGGTGCAAGTAATGGCACAGTACTAGTATGAATAGAGTGGTACTAGTATTTTTAAAGTACAAGCATCACTAAATTGATATGGCATCAATGACGGTCCAATAACACCATTAACAATTTAATAGCAGTTGCAAATAACTAGTATATATGATAAACTAGTATATCATAGTACAATATAAGGAGAGAGCACTAGTATATAGTACTAGTATGCTAAGCAATAGTACTTGTAACAGTATAGTTGAATACCAGTGTTGGTGTAGTAATACCACCAATGTAATTGTATGGCACTTGGTTAAGTTCTAGTACTAGTACAGTACTAGTGTATAGTGGTATTAGGGCTGAACGATTAATTGCATTTGTGATAATATCGCGATATGAAAAAACGCGATTTTTCAATCGCAGAGGCTGCGATCACACTCGGTCACGTGACACGCCAGAGTAAAGAGGTGTGTTCGACTTGAAGATCCATCAGTGTATGACATCAAAGTAAGGCGAGAGAAAGCATAAGGAGACGTCCGCGCTCTCTTATAGCTCTCGCAGTACTTTGATGACACACACCCATCAGTCTAAGCAGCGCTAACAGTAAACAGCCAAAGGACGTAATGGGAGATGGATCGTTTGTGAAAGCGAAGAGAAAAGCCATAGATGAAGTCGCACAGACCCAGATTTTTTTATAGGTTTAAAGGGGGGCGTGAACAAAAAAGTTTGAGAATCACTGATATACGTAGATACTCATAAGGTGTCATATGTATACTTTCAATGAATTAGTCTTTACATAGTTTCTGAATACTAATTAGGCTGGCTAATTTAGAAAGTTTTCAGTATTGTTTGTGATCTTAAGATGTAATATGTACTCGGCCACTCCAGCAATGGACGCAACCCGGAAAACTATCGGCAAAAATCAATGCCGATAGTTCCGCCAATCAACTATCGGAGCCAATGAATCGGCAAAACCGATGAATCGGTCGACCTCTATTTAATAGTACAACAAATGGTAACGTATAATCGATTTGGAGCTAGTAAAAGTACAATAATATTATAGTGGCACTAGAAGTGGAATAAGTACATTAGTAAGAATTTAACTGATACAGAACTAATAAAGGTACAATCAGCTGAAAATCACTAACATTGCTACAGAACTAGTGTGAGTGGTTATTAACGCTAGTATCAGTAAAATGGTACAAACTAATATGCAACTAGTCAATAAAATGTAAATGAAAAACACTAATGTACTATATTGTTATGTAATGTACTATATTGTAATGTACAGTACTATATTGTTTAGCTGTAGAAGTGGTGCAAATATTATTATTATACAATCTGCATTATATAACAGTATTAGAATTAGTACAATAATGCTAGTGATACTCAGAGGTGTAAAGTATTGGAGTAAATGTAATTAGTTACTGTACTTGAGTATCTTTTTGGGTACTTTGTAGTTGTACTGAGTATCAAAGATATTAGCAACTTTTACTCTTTACTTCACTACATTTTTGAATGAGTATTTGTACTCTTTACTCCATTACATTTGAAATGAGTGTTGCAGTTACACATTAAATTTTGCATGGACCTAGCTTTTTCTGCAGCAGTTTATTTCTGCTACAAAAGACGTGATACTGCCTATTACAGGTCACTGAAAGTACTGCATCTTATGTGTTTTGCGCTTACTCACCCAAACTTTTCAACAAGGCTGTTTGTTCATTGGTTCCCCTTGATTAGTCTCCCCAGGTGTGTCTTATCTTGTTAAGCTTGTCTAACCCTGTGTGTATATATAGTCCTAGTGTTTTTTGAGCTCCTTGTGAGTTGTTGAATGTAATGGTTATCTGTTTGCCAGTCATTCTGTTCTTTGTCTTATTGTTTGTTCTAGTTTTTCCATTAAATGCCTGCACATAGATCCTTGCCTCTGCCTGTTTTCCACAGCTTCTCCACAACAACGTTACAGTTTTTCACTGGCATGTCTCTTTGACTAGTGCATCTTTGAGCCTATATTTAGTATAAGTAAAATACTTAAGTACTGTTCAAATCAGATACTCTAAGACTTTTACTCAAGTTGTTTTGGAATTGGTGACTTGTAACGTGTAGTGGAGTAATTTTCACTGTAAGGTATCTGTACTTTTACTCAAGTATGGTTTTTAGGTACTCTTTACACCTCTGGTGATACTACTATTTCTACAGTATTAGAATCATAGTAGCAATATACAACTAGTGACACTAGTATTTCTATAGTATTAAAATTAGTGGTCGACCGATATATCGGCCGATATCTGTCATTTTTCAAATATCGGCATCGGCCGATAAGTTTTTCTGTTTGGCCGATGTGTTCGATGTCTTTTATTTTGACGGCGCGTCTGACTTTTATTTTGACGGCGCCGAGAACAGCTGTGGCACACAGTGCTCTCACATTCTCCCTCTTGGATATAAAACTAGTGAAACCAGTATTTCTACAGTATTAAAATCAGAATCAATATAAAACTAGTGATACCAGTATTGCTACAGTATTACAATCATAGTAGCAATATAAAACTAGTGACACTAGTATTTCTACAGTATTACAAACAGTACAATAATACTAGTGATACTAGTATTTCTACAGTTTTAAAATCAGAATAGAAACTAATGATACCACCTGTAATGCTACAGTATTACAAACAGTACAATAATTATACTAATGATATTATTATTTCTACAGCATTAAAATCAGTATAATCACTTCAAACTAGTTGTACTAGTATTTCTACAGCAGTAATAAAAGTATTACTATAGCATTAGAATCAGTACAATAACAATAATAGTGACACTAGTATTTCTACAGTACTGGAATTAGTGTAATCATCTAAAACTGGTTGTACTAGTATTTCTACAATATTAGAATCAGCATAATCATTTAAAACTATTAGTGTACAATACAGTATATTGCTACAGCACTAGTAGTAGTAACTTGATAGCACTAGCAGTGGTATAATACTAGCAACAGCGGTACTAGTACTACAGTATTAGAATAATTATGGTGATTTAAACCTAGTGATACTAGCATCTAGAACCAGTACTGTAATGTTAGTAGAATACCTGTATCAGTATATTGGTATAGCTCTAGTAGTAACTGCAGTGCTAGTACTAGCATGGTGGTTTAGCACTAGTATTGGAGTAGTATTGATGTTGCTTGTATAATACTACTGTTAGCTAATTCTTGACTAGCAGTAGGAGGCACAAGCACACATGTGCTGGCTGAACGTAACGTTACCTTCTTCATAATGCCAGTCTTTCTCTTGCTGAAGGTCGTGTATCTCCTCAGCTTGTTGTCAATAAACTCCATCTTAATTTTCACCCGTCCTCGCGTTTTCTTGCCCGGTTTAGCACCGGCCACCACGGCGGAAACCCCTCCGTACCCCGCCGACAGTCCCGCGTGAGATCCCGAGGATACACCGACCTCCATCTCACTCCTCTCCCGCTTCACCCCTCTCCTGTCCACCGCGGGACTCTCCTCATCGTCCCCGGAGTCCGAGTCTCCGTCGGAGCCGCTCAACACAGCCTCCACCGACGGCCCGTCGTCGTATCTGCCTCCATCGGGCAGGTTTATGGCAGAGTTTACCGCCCCCAAAGCCCCAGATGTGCTGCCCACCTGTAGAGGGGTCAACCCCGCGCCGTTACCGGAGCGTCCAGCCCCTCTAGCCGTCCCGTTTCCCCCTAACATCGCCCGCGGTAGGTGTAGAGATATGAGCAGATCCCAGATCAAACCTAGCAGATCGCTTCCCTCGACACCGAACTTACCTCACATATGCTAGGCTAGGAAACATTAGCTCAACTCAGCAGACAAAACGCGCGGGATCTGGAGTTCGAGGACGGATATATGTGTCTGTGTGAAAGCCACGATTTAGGCAGCTCGTGATTTCCAAAAACAAACCCCCAAAACTAGCCCTTTACGACCATCGTACAAAGTTTACAGCGTCCAGTTTCCGCCTACAGTCCATCAATCAAACCTCAACTGAACTTACGCTGCGCCTGCCACGTTTGGAAACAACGAATCGCGACCGTACCTCAATGTGCCTCCGCCAACATAACTAGCTACCTGCAGTAACGTCAGTATCGCGTAAAATTATTCACTTTCAACACATAAATGACTATATTTTGGTCGTATATAACGTTTGATGTTTTTTTAAACGATATAATTGCTGATAGCGCGCTTATTTAGGGAATTTAACTCACGAGGCCGTTCGCCTAAAGATCTACTTTCCTCCAAATAAAGCGAGGCGATGTTTCCTTATATGGCGATGGCTGTCCATGTATGGCGAGTCACAGCGCTGCGCTGCGATTGGTTACGCAAACCTCTCCGACTCTGTGATTGGTTACGCAAACCTCTCCGACTCTGTGATTGGTTACGCAAACCTCTCCGACTCTGTGATTGGCTCGAATCTAATTTGTCCGACAGATATGTTTTACGTCATGCACAGCGAACCAGTAGCAAATATTCCTGGACCTTAGACCCTCACAGTAATATTAACGACATAAATACACCTTTTCTGGCGAGGAATGTTTGAAAAGGTAAACCACATTCACTTGACAAACTTCTAAAACCAAAAGCGTGTTGTTGGACTGACTGCTGAGTTTAAGTTTAGACCAAACTGAGGTGAGTTTCAGCTCTGTGAGAGCTGTGGACATTATGCGATACTCTGGGTAACCAGCAGATGAGGCTCTTACATTAAAGGGGTCATATGATGCTGCTAAAAAGAACATTATTTTGTGTATTTGGTGTAATGAAATGTGTTTATGCGGTTTAAAGTTAAAAAAAACCAGCTTAAACCAGCAAATGACCAGTTTAAACCAGCATCCCAGCGTCAAAACATACCTAACCAGCATATGCTGGTTTTTTCAACAGGGCAGTTTTCAATTTTCAGCCTTGTACAATCAGCTTTTTGCTTTGACATTACATCAGTGCTATTGCTTTTATGGTAGACAACCGATTGCGACAAACACTTTAAATAAAAAAAATTTCTGCAATCAATATTTTGAACGTTTTGCATTGGGCCCAGAGAATACAAACATTTTACACTAATAGTAGTAATGCAGTATGTATTTGGCTGCTCAAATATCAAGGAAGTTTCTCATTCTCATGATTTACTTACTTAATCCTCTTCGTCCCATGAGAAGGCCACAAATGAATCTCATGATTAATCACATAAAACCATCAGAAAGATGTCGATCTAATACTATATGGACTATGCAAAAATAAATCTGTCAAAAAGAAAATGTCTTTACATTCTAAATTTTGTTGGTTTTTCCAGATTTTTCTTGTAATTCTCCAGATTTTTTTACACCCACATTTAGTTTATACTTATGCTATTTTTTTTTTAAATAAAAGAAAAAATTGAGTAGTTTTGCATCGAAATCTAAGCAAAAACATGAAGTTCATGTATGACTTGCATGCTTTCTGTAAACGACTAGGCTGTCAGTGTGTAAATATTCTCACAGGAACTGCTCAACTATTGTCATGACAACATCACATAGTTACATATTCCCATCTGCAACCGCGGGAGGTAATAACTGCAGATGAATCTTGGTGGTCCCCATAAACTGTTCCAGGAATATACCAAACTGACCCATGCATGTTATGCAATACTAGCAAAAGATTCAATTTTTGCACATGAGCATTTTCGAACATGCTTCCTTTCTGGTGCTACAAAATGACACAACTGTTACTGCATTTATTTTTATTTCCAAAAAACTTTACAGCAGAATAAATGGCACAAAGGCTGTGAATGAGTAAAAAAGTGCAACTTGAGAGCAGACTGAAAATACAGAAAATTTCTGAACGAAAGGTGCAAATCCAAAATTAATTTTAGTTTGTTAAACAAATACAAAGACCTGTTGTCCTCACTGAGCAGAAACAACCGGTCCACATCAATTTAGATATGAGCAAAAATCTCAATAAGATTTAAGATCTCAATCTCAATAAGAGAAAAAACAGGGAGCATTCACAAATTCACTGTGATCAATCAAAGTGTTTGATCACAAGAAAACAGATAATGACAACATACAGACTGATTTGCAAGCATTGCATTAAAATACTAAGTCAGATCTCGAAGCAGCCAACGTAGAGATTGCTTGCTAAAATAATTTCATACAACGTGGTGGTGCGCGGACAATTCCGGCCTCACCCACGACCACATCTCTGGGGGCGCCGGGTGTGACGCAACGGTTTAAGTAACAGTGTTTATCATAGACCATCGACATGAAACACTGCAGAAGATCAAACGCTGCTCTGGCAACCGTACAGACATGTTAGGCAAGAGTTCCATTGCTTATGCGTCCCAAAACCCTTGCCAGCAATTTCCTGAAAACATCACTTCTGTTTCCAAAACATTATTGCCTTATTCTCATAGGATAGGAGGTCATTTCTGCAGAATTTGCAAGGCGGAGGAAGCATTCAGAGATTTCCATTAGCTAAGGATGCCATTAGATTACGACACAAACTGTTCCACCTAACTCTATGCAGTTCTGTTTGCTTTATCCACATGTTCCACCTATAAAACACTTTTCCCCTGCTAAGAAGTAAAATCTAGTAAAGAATCTATAAGCACTTTTTGATAATTACATTCTGTTTCTACACAATCCATGTATGAGCAATGTAAAGCTTTGATTTACTGACAGATTAAAATGTTCATTTGTTCAAAAATTTAAACTCTGTCATCATTTACTCATATGGTTACTTTCTTCTGAGGAACTAAAAAGGAGAAGTTTAGCAGAATGTTCATGATGCACTTTTCCATACAGAGAGAGGGAATGAGGACGAAAATAGACCCCCCCAAAAAAAAAAAAAAAAGATAAAAGTAATTTTTTGAAGCCACACCATGCTCATACAGAATGTGTTTTTGAATTCCAGTGCGCTGATTTTCCATTGGTTTTCTATGTAAACATATGCGAAACAGACATCTTTGACGATTGCGCTTGTGTATTTTGCAACGTCTTGTGCACTTTGAAAAAAAAAAAACAGTGCACAAGTGAAAAGACATTCAACTTTTTAAAAACACATCTCAAGACCTTGCATTTTTCCTATTCCACTTCCCGTAAAACTGCGTTCTTCGTAATTGGTCCCTAACAGACCAAAATTTATGGTTGGTGGTCATTGAATTAGTCGTAACCAATTGTGACACCAATTTGAAGACGTGTGAAAGATTTGAGCAATGTGATAGAAGGGAGTATTTTCAGTGAATAACGTTTTGGTCTGTTGAGAAGATTCACAATATAGCTGTAGAGTCGTATGGACTATTTTTAAGGTGTTTTGTAATTTTAGTTTTTTCCTCCATTCATGTTTAGTGTATGGAAACGAGCAACATGACATTTTGTTAAACTTCACCTTCTGTGTTTTACAGAAAGAAAGTCATATGAGTTTACAACAACATAAGATAGGTAAATAATGATAGACCCACTTTTTGGATGAACTATCCATTTAAAAGACTGACATGCAGCAGAATCTTGCAAACCTCCTGCTACCAAAACAAAGAATAACCTGTAAGTGCTATTCAGAATGAAACTTGAGCGACTGTGTTTCCTTCTGGTATCCAGCTGTGTTGTTTTTCAGATATTTCTTGGTCTTCATGTCACCCTCTCTTACCTTGTCTTTCATTTTCCAAAGTACAAGTTACTTGAAAACTTAAGTAAACCAGACAACCTACATTTTATGATTAATAAACCAATTCCTGTTTGAAACCCAGTGAATATGCAACTATCTAGACCAGTGGTTCTCAGCCAGTTTTGTTTCAAGACCTACATTTTACAATGGACATTAAATGGCAACCCAACACAGTATCAAAATTTATTATACAAAAGATTCATCATAAAAACGTGAACTCGCATAAAACTTTAAAATCAACCATTAATATCTATTGGTTGATTTAGAACTGGTTTCTGACACATTTTTTGGTCTCAACCAACCAGTTAAGAAACACTGATCTAGACCACAACCAGGTAGCCATGCTGTGTTGAACATTTTAAACATTGTAAGCTGCAGTACACGCATAAAACCAAGGTGCTGATTCGGTCGATCTAGATGATTTAGAAAGGGTATGGACCCACAATAATGGTGAGTCTCAGCAGTGAGCTGGAACGGTAGCTCAAGACATTACTCTGGGTGACCATCTCCAGGTCCACAACATGTTCTCTAGGTCCAGTCAAAGGTTTGGTCATCACCAACATGGCGCTTACATTACTGGAGCGCTGAAAGACAAAGAAAAAGTCAATCACTGGAGAGGCTTCACCACGAGACAGTGTTATAAATCACAGTGATCCATTTTTTGATGTAACAGGGTTGATGTCTTTATGTGTATTTCATTATGTTTACAGATACATATTTCAACTCTGTTATGGGAAAAATATCACTGTGAGCAATGATTACTGTAAATAATCTGGTGAGTAGTGATGACTAATAAATAAACTTTTTTCCACTGATCTTTAACACTGTAACAACCTCAAAATATTTTAAATGTAACAGGGTTGATGCTAAACCGGTTTTGGAAAAGGAATGTCATGGGTTCAGACACAAGTAAGTATCTCTTACATTCTCTATTAGCTTTTATTGTTTACAGTTATATTGTCATGCTCAATTGTTCAACTCTGTTATGGGAAAGTAATAGTGATCACTCTTTTACAGAAAAAATATTTTTCTTGGCAGAAAGCAGAAGAATGCTCACTGTAAATAATCTGGTGTTGTGCTGTGCCAGCTAAGGAGGTTACAAGACATTTTTGCACTGATCTTCAACCCTAGATATTTTAAATGTAACAGGGTTTGGCACTAAACATGTTTTGCAAAATAAATATCATGGGTTCAAACACAGGTGAGTAACTCTTAAAGTCTCTATCAGTTTTTAATTATGTTTACAGTTATATTGTCAAGCTCGATTGTTCAAAGTCTTGACAAAAAGCACAAGAATACTGATTGTAAATAATAATCAGATTTTGTGCACTAATTTACAATCCAGTAACATTCAACCCCATACATTTTAAATGTAACAGGGTTGAAGCTTAACCTGTTTTGGAAGAGAAATGTGACAGGTTCATACAAAGGTAAGTAGACTGTATCTTACAGTCCTTGTCAATTTTTCATTATGTTTACATTGTAGTTATATCATCAATCTCAATAGTTCAACTCCATAAGTATAAGAATGTATGGTATAAGAAGTATAAGAATGGCAAAAGTATAATAATGACTGTAATCTAGTGTTATGCAATGATATTTGCTAGCTGAGGTGTTTATTAGACATTTTTGCATCTTTAATCCTGTAACATTCAACCCCAAAACACTTTAAATGTAGGGTGGACAACAGAACATGTTTTTGGTAGAGGAATTCCATGGGTTTAAATAGAGTTTAAAAGCAAGTATCTCTCATTAAAAAACATTGGGTTTTCATTATATTTCATTATATTAAGTTATTTTGTCAAGATCAATAGTTGGTTTATTATAGGAAAATAATAGTACTTTACAAAATACTAATATTTTCTAGGCAAAAAGCACATGAACATTAAGTCTAAATAAGCTAAAGCTGTTATTATACTTATTTTGCGTTGATTTTCAACCCTGTAATATTTAACCACAAAACACTTTATGACAGGGTTGGCACAAACTTTAGAAGAGAAATGTCTTTGGTTATTATCTATTCAATTATAATGTGCTATTGAATTATTAATGCTTGAAAGTAATATGTCTAAAATTTAAGCAGTCTACTGTGTTTATTAAGTTATACATCCAATCTGTTACAGTATTGAAATAACATAGAACTGAAAGTGTTGGGTTTATGGTTAGTAACAACTGAGTACAGTAAGTTACTCTTAAAAAAAGGCAATTCATTACTAGCTAAAAAAAAATCTTCAACTTATTAATTACTTTCTAAATCCTGTATATCTAAAACCTTGACCAGTTAAACAATACAGGGATAGACATGAAACTGCAATTTTAATTATTTCAAATAAATAATATAAAATTGCATAAATTATTCTTGAACTGACCAAAGTATTTAAAGGGAGAAGGTTACATTAAAACATACATTTTTACATTAGATGTTAAACTTTGATGTTTAATCCACAATTGTTTTATCCAGAAACTGGTAAAAATAAATAACTAACTGCAAGGCTGTAATCACAGATCTTACCCTCAGGTAGAATTCTCCTCCCTCGTTGCCGGATTTGATGGTGAAGGTGTTTACCATGTTGGGGTAGACACTGGTAGCTTGAATCTGGAAGATATCCGCAGGCACTGAGCGTTCGGAAAAGATGCTCATGTACTTGTAGACAATGACAGGCGGCAGTCCTCGGCAAACACTTGGTGACTGGCACCTACAGCGTCTGTTGATAGAGAGGCAAACAGTTTGTGAAACAGATTTGTGGATCAAATAACAAAACTTTCTTTTTTTTTGCAACACAGGGTATGATTTTATCAGGAGATTAGACGCACCCTTCGCCTGTTTTGACGTATGGCTCACGGCAGGGGTTTCTGGGATAGCAACGGAATCCTCCATAGTAATTCCAACACATTTCATCTTCTCTGCAGTTGTGTGCTGTTTCACACTCGTTTATATCTATTAAAGGGATAGTTCACCCCAAAATTTAAATTCTGTCATTAATTACCCTCATGTCGTTCCAAACCCGTTAGACCTTCGTTCATCTTCGGAACCCAAATTAAGATATTTTGGATGAAATCCAAGAGCTCTGACTCTCCTGTAGACAGCAAGGATCCTAACACGATCAAGGTCCAGAAACGTAGCAAGGAGATCATTAAAATAATCCATGTGACATCAGTGGTTCAACCGTAATTTTACGAAGCTACGAGAATACTTTTTGTGCACAAAGAAAACAAAAATAATGACTTTATTCAACATTTCGTCTCCTCCGCGTCACACTATAGCACCATTTTGGAGAGTATCACATACGTAAACAACGTATGCTGTTCTGTGTCAGCAGCACCGTACGCGGATACGCTGTTTACGGTGTTCACACTTTGATCTGAACGTAAACAACGTATCCGCGTACATACATTGTTTACGTATGTGATACTCTCCAAAATGGCATTATAGGGTGACGCGGAGGAGACG